TTCAGACTTGTGAATGAGAAGCAGCCCTGTGACTCAGTCTGACAGGAACAGCACAGTTACAATAATGACCCCTGGCCTGCAACCAAACTGCAAATAAAACCCAAACTAAATCATGCCTGGATGAAACCAAACAGAAGAGCCATTTGCAAGTCCCGCCCTGCCTTGTGTAGCCTGTCCTCCGTATGCTAAATCAGATCAGAGACAGCTTCTGAATGCAGCTTTATCTTCGCCTGTGATCGATCTTTCACTTTGTGTGAAAATCGATGAATTGTTAATGACAAACTTTGTGTTTTATCAAACATGGATTTTCAAATGACATGATTACATGGTCTGGTTGTTCTGGTATGAGGCAGTCTGTGGTGAGTACACACACACTGTGAAACACACACACACTCTCCTGCTGTGTTTCCTGTCTACCCCGGCTGATCATTTCCCTGTAATCTAACGCTTGGCTGCTCATCTCCGGTCGGCTTTCCCCACGTGGATGCGCACGTGTGCATGTCTCTGTGTCACAATTTCATTTTCTGAAAACAATAGTGCACCAGTGGTTCAATAATGACAAAGACAGCTGGCTTCAATGAACTTTGCTCTCTGATGGAAATTAGTTTGGGTGCAGGTACAAAAGTTTGCGAGTGCGCCGGTCAGCATGTTGACCCGTTTATTTGAATGTTTTTGCATGCAACACAAGGTCAAGTGTGTGACCTGTTAAACTAAATGAGGTGCGAATACTATACGTGTGTCCTCATTGCTTGGTAAAAGATAGTTCTGAAATGCGCGCCCCGGTAAAGTGAACAAGTGTTGTTAGAGGCTCGGCTCAGTGCTGAACACAGGCTGAGTTCACGTGGACCAGAGGTGACGACACGATAACCTCTGAGAAGTTCTGCTCACTGGCAAATTAAACAGAAAAGGCAACAAAAGATCCCGAAACACAGAAGTATAACATGTACACTTTGACACAATGAGCTTTTCTTTTGTCAACATTTTTCATAGTTTAACTCCGGTGATAAGAATGAATCCGTTCTCCTCAACTTGCTCTTTGTTCTGCATCTCAGGGCTCCACACTGACTTTTTACTGTTGGTATTGATGCACTGAACTTCTACTTTGAATTTGTTGGCATTCTGACAGACTTGTTTCTACATAGCAGTCCACAGGTTCTTGATTTACATAAGTCAGGACTTTAGGGAGACCAATCTGAAACCTTAATTCTAGGCTGATTTAGTCATTTCTTTGACTTTTGAGATGTGTTTTGGCCATTATCTTATCTACTGCATCCAAGACCCAACTTTCAACTTTCCAATCTTCCTTCAGTAATATTTAATTTACTTTATATAAAACATTAATTCAACTGGCACCAAAAAAAAAAGCCCTGGAGCATAGTACTGCCACCACCATGCTTGACAGTGGGTTTGGTGTTCTTGGGTTTGGTGTTCTTGGGTTTGGTATTCTCCAAACTTATTTCTGGTCATTGTGGTCAAAAAGGTTTTGAATTCTGGTGCACCCAAAAATTTACACTATGGTTTTTGCCACAGTAATAAGTGCAACCAATGAGCCTCTATGTTGTGTAATTACAGAGAGGATGCTGTGACACGTTGTGATTTCTTGGAGGTGATCTCCATTTATCCTGAAAATAACAACAACAACAACAGAACAGAGAATAAGCTGCCTGCTCCAGCTCCTCACACAGGCTGAGAATGAACATGGACAATGGGTGTGAAGCTCACAACAGGAAACAGTGGTGGGTTTATTACGGACTGGTCAATAGTGCATCTATAATTACTGGGGGCTACGAGCCGGCCCGTCCCAAATGAAACAATCTGCTGACCCCACCCCAGATCCAAAATAACCTGAAGCCTCAATGGTTCTGCTCAGACATCGACAGTGGCACATCAGATAACAGCAGGAAACAGGCAGTACAGTCAAAATAGGAAATAAAAGTAAACCGCATTACCAAAATATAATAACACAAATAAAACCTGTCAAAACATCCAAGGAAACACACTTTGTTATTCATTATATCATTCCATCTTTTAAGGCAAACAGTTTAAAAAACAACTAAATCAACACAAACAAATGTCAGTATTACATACAAACCTGCTAAACGTCAGGTCCATCAGCACAACGATGAAAATGTTTAGTCACTTGACTTAAAAGTTGGATTCTAAAGAAATCATTGCAAAATCCTGCTTCAGAACAAGTGGACCACAAACACCTGCTCATAGCGCTGTGTGAGCTGTTAGTCACACTAGTTGCATCATTTTCTTGTTAAAGTCAAGCAGTATTCTCAGGAAACCTGCTCTTCACAGAAACTCTATTTACCTCCTGTGACACACAAACTTTCCAAACCTATTTTGCTTATTACTAAACTTTCCTGTGACGGCAGCAACATGCCGCGACTTCTCTCACACACATGCAGAGAGCAGCTCCAACAACAGATCCACTGGTCTACGTCACCTCCGTCCTTACAGGGGAGGTGCAGTCAGGCCGTGGCTGTGTAGCTTCACTGGTTAAAGACATAATGACCATATTGTGCACATAATTATTAAGTGTTTGCTGACAGACAGAGTTGAGCAGCGGTGGAGGAACTATTCAGATCTACACTCTGACAGTTATACACTGACAATTTCACTTACAGTAAAAGTACTTCAGTATAATCAGAAAGATGTACTATCGTAACAGTACTGAGTGCAGAAAATACCTCCAGTGCTCTTTACTGCAATGCATCATTTCATATTATTAGACTATTATTACTTCTGCATTAATTCAAAAGCAGGATTTTAAAGTTGTAGTACATCTTAGTACAACCCTAACCTCAAAGAATTAAGGTTCCAATACAGTTGCTGCCTTTGTGTTTATATGTCTGACATCCTGAAAGGCAGTTCCTGACCAGGTCCCATTCTCTCTGATTAACTTGGGAATAAAAAAAAAAACACATTCTCTGACAAGAAATTTCTGTTGGAAAAATGATTCCCAGATATATCCCAGAACAGTCTGCAAACGTTCAGCAGGGTGCAAGATTTAGGAGAAAGTTAAGGACAAACTTTTCCAAAACAGCCAGAAGACCAGAGGATGGACCGAGTGCTGCTTTCATCCGCTTCAGGGGAACTCATGTTAAAGAATGAGGCTGACAGTATACAGAAGTTTTTCTAAAAAGACCAGAAACATGAATGTGTTAGTCCGTCTCTCAGTTCTTTGTCTGCCTTTGGCAAAATCACCAACAGCCATAAGTTCTGACTGAAGACATAACCCTGAATAAAATGCATCTGAAATAAAACTTAATTCAAAGCTAAAGAGTTTGTAACTGGCTGATGCATCTTGTCACTGTTGATCATAACTTCTGTATTAGTGAAGGGCTTTGTTCAGATCAGATGAATTAATACCTGTCTGGTGTTGTAGTGAATAATTCTGACAGCAGCTCAATCACAATAAGACATTGTCGGCTTTAAAGACAATATGTGAATATTTCCAGATTTACAGTTGTGAACAAAAGCGTACAATCACTTACAGAAACCATGCATAGCTTCAGTTTCCTATGACTCAGACGGGCCCGACTTAAATGATCTCAGAGGAGTCAGTGAATCGTGATCGCTCACAGGAAGTTAAAAGGCTGTCACTAAGAAAATCTCATTGACGCAGCTTTCTACATCACCGAAGTTGCTGTATGTATATATTTGACCCAGCAGATCTGATCATGTCTCCAGAAGACCTATAATAAATCTATGAAAGAATCAAAACACTTGATTGGTTTGTGGTGAGAGATGCATGTGTTGTAATGATTCCATCAAAGAAAATTCAGAGACACAGGAGTCATTGGAGACTGTCATTGTCTTTACAATGTATGTAAACATTTGTTTATGGTTGCTCGGTTACAAGCACATATAATAAAAAAAATCATTGTCTTCTATACTTTCATGTGGGTCAAAGGTCAAGACCTATAAATATATAAAACTGCTTCGTATTCGTGCTTTAAAGCTAAAAAAAAAACAACATTTGGTGTCTGTGTCAGTAACACTCTGGCAGGATGTATGTTTCCATCCTGCAGCTGAAGGGCAGTCGGATGGCGTCTCCAACCTCTTGGCAGTTCTACCACCCTATAATGTCCAGATCCCAATGACGGGTTTTGGGTTATGTGCCGAAACTGCTGACAGTGGGATGCGACCCCGCGGTGTTCTGCTTATTTGAAACAGCTGTGTGGATGCACGGCCCACAAAGAGAGGTTATGAGAAGACATAAACGGTTCACCCACCAACACCATCCGCCTGATTCAACCACAACAGCTTCCTGGCTTCCCCGTCTCTGGCTTATCCTCCAAGCAGGTCCTCCACTCTACCTCAGCCTGGGAATAAATAGTCCTGGCTCCAATTTCACAATGTAATCAAAACACTGGGCTTTGTGGGAGCGCCCAGAGGATAGCCGCCTGGCAGAGCAGTGGGACACGGAGGAGGAGGAGGAGGACTTGGACAGGGAGGAGAATCAAGGAAGGGGATCAGGAGTTAGTTTATGTAACCAAGGTCAACTGAAGGAAAAACACGATAATCCTTGGCGAAGGCGAAAACAGTAAGAGCACAAGGGAGGAGGGCCGAGCGAAGGAAGGGAAATATGAAAACAAACAGATAAAAGTCACAGCGGGGAGGCCTCCGTTTGCGTGGCCCGAGCTTCTGGTTTGGTGCAGGGAAGAGTAATTGGAGGCAGCCGCTGACACTTTAAATAGCTGCTGAGTGCGGTGGGATGCGGTTTGGGGGGAAGTGGACTTGACACCGCAGGAGGAGGAAACTTAAATCCCATGAGCCATTGTGTAATTCAGATGAATTGAAGGAAATCATTTAAAAGGCTTGAGGGATGGCTCTCTAGATATATCGGGCTATTTTAGTGTATACCATCAGCACTGGGCAAAAAAACCTTTATAATATGAGCATAACATAAGCTAGCGCTACCGTCTGTTTGAATGTGTGTCATTTTTGCAAAGGCATGAACACAAAGAGAGAAAATACGAGTTTCCTACCTGTGGAAGCTCAATGCGCTTTTCCTGCCATTTCCATTCTTTCCATAGCTCCCATAAGGAATTTGTCCAAACCTGGAGAAGGACAAGCAGTTAGAAAATCCACAGAGAGCATTTTTTTTTTTTTTTACAGCTTTCTCTCCTAAAAGCCAAGACATGACATAATGCACAACACAAATGGTCTTTGAGAGAGCGTAATGTGGAAACAGATGATGATAGCAGGGGCCGGTGGCTGCACAATTCTCCACTGCAAACTGAGCTAAAACTATTTGCAACGCTTGCCATGTCGTCTTAATTCATGTTCTGCAGGTGAGGGCTTCCGCTCTTCATACAAGGAAACTATTGTTCAGTGCAACAACGGACCTCTGCTGAACACGGAGCGGACACAAAAGACACCTTTAAAAAATTAGACAAAGTATGAACTTGGACTCAAAGTGAAGGACGAGGGTTGATCAGATGTTAATCAGATGTTAATCTTCTAATGATGCCAGTGTGTGCTGGAGATGTTGTGTAAAACAGACACACTGCACCACTGTGAAGTTGTGTTTTTTCACACCTTCCTGACATTTTACTGATATTTGTCTTTAAAAAAGTAACAGCTGGTGGTGATGGAAGTCATCGGAGCGTGTACGATAATAGACGCCTGACTAGGTCGGTGCAGGAGGACCCTGCCTCTGTCCACGCTCTCCATTTTTAGCTCTCCCTTTCATACTTTGTTGATTTAGCAAAAGCACCCACTGTGGCTGGTTGAACAATAAAAAACACATTTTAAATTGCTGTAGTTTGGCAAATTATCATCACACATGGACAGAATTTTTAGTTATTTCAACAGTTTGATAAGCTGCTGCTATTCATTTAGATTTAGTCTTTTGTATTTAAGTGCATTATTTTGCATTCTACATCACTTAATCTGCTGTCCAATCTTACTTGTAATAGTGTGCACATAATCCATCGCTGCAGTGGGTCTGTTTGAATAAAGCCCAGAGGAACATTAACATAGAAGTGACCTCTGTCTGAATGACACAGTGCCATGAAGCCAGCAAGTCGGAAAAACGCTTCGATTTAATAAACTAAATTACCTTTTGCAGCCTTTGTAAATTCAAATTTTATGCATGTTCTTCACCACAGGTGTCCTGAAGTTGTAAAGGTTATATAACCGCCGTCCCATAGGAGAACTAAATGACAGTCATTGTCTAGGAATGCTGCATTAACACGGACCAAATGGGGACAAACCTGGAGGTTTTCCAATCGTTCTCAGGGCAGTAAAAAAAAAAAAAGAGTGCCTTTAAAATGTTTAGGCTTCACCAGCTGATCCAGCAGCTCCTACCTCTGGCAGGGATTTGTTGGGTCTTGTTTGCCTTGAGGGGCTGGCTCTCTCATATATTGTTCCAGTTTCTCTTTGACCCAGACTGCCAGGGTGAGGCCTGGAGCTGAGCTATGTGGGGACAAGTTTGAAGTTGAAAGTGCAGAAAGGAGTTTGTTGGAATTGTGGGCAAAGATTGATGGGCTGATAGGATTGATGTGACAGGAACAGGAAGGATTGCGGTCTTTGCTCTAATGTTTGTTCCCCTCTGTAAGTTTCCTATTCAAGGATTAAAGCTGACCTGTATGACACTGTGGTTCATCAGGTTGAGCAAACAGGCAGTAGATGAGATATCAAACAGCCTGGAGGACCTTTCATCTGGCAGCAGCAGTGGGCACGTTTAGCTTTCAGGGACTAGAAGCAGGGATGTTGGGTCCCTTAGTCATTAGATCTTCTGACCAAATCAGGTATACACAGATTACGGGGGCGACTTGAATCCGGATGCATTTAAGCCTTAATGGTTCCCTTTGTGGCCATGAAAGAGGACTCCGCCAGTTTCAGCCAGGCTTTCCATTCTTGGGAAATATGGAATGACTCAACTGGTTACATGGTGCGTTCACTCAGTCTTGCCAAAACCAGTGAGTCACTGGCCAAAACACCCACCTCCTCCCATCGCAAAGTGTACAGAGAGGGTCACAACACCCAGGAGTCCTCACAAACAAGTCCACCGCCAAGAGTACACAAGGACTTTTTGGGGAGCGCTGAGAGGAACCCGACTCGACTCTAATCAGGCCAGATTAAGACGGGAAAGAAAAATATCGCCGCAACAGCCGAGGCAAATAGAAGAAACGTCCTTCAAAGCCATAGCTGTCACGAAGAAGGTTCTCACGAGAAAACAGACTGCAAAAAAAAAAGAAAATAGCCATTTCCAAGCAGTATAAAAATCCTAAAATTAGTGTAAGCGTTCACCCTTGACTTGGCAGCTGTGGTAGGTTTTGGTAAACATGGCACCACCACATTTCTTTCTTTCTTTTTTTTTTAACTTGCTTCTTAATTTTGTCCATTCAATGGAGCTGGAACATGTTCATATCCCAAACACATCAAAAACATGGCTCCTCACAGGAGGAAATGACACAGCGTCACAAAAACCAATAGTGCCACCATTCCTGTGGTTGTTAAGCTGTCGGTCTTAAAACTACCATTGACAGTGTGCCTTTGGCCACGGCCGCTCTGTAATTAAACACCAGAAATTTCAGGTTTTTCCCCCTCTCTGTTCCTTTGGAAAATATATACAGCGTCTAAATACAACTCCTGCCCTGCCCTCTCAGGCGCGCTGGCACAGGGCTGATGCCATCCTGCTTCATTCCTCAGCCCACATCTGGTCATTGCACCTCAGAATGAACAAAGGTTATCCCACAAATCGTAAGGCGAAAAAAACAACAACAACAAAAAGGCCAGCCGTGTTGTCAAGCTGAAACTGAAATAGTTTTGTGGTGGCATTCCTGAGGGCCAGAGGTAAATGTGTCAGTGCCTCCAAACAGCACAAGTCTTCCTTGGAAGTCATCTACAGCAGTGCAAGCACAGGGATTAAACTTTTCACTTTATAGTGAACTAATGAGAGACTGGGCATCTTTCTCTAAGCCTTAATGAATACGATAGAGGATGAACGCCTTCCAGCGACAGCTTGGTCATTAAGTCTAATTGTGTTCTCACACTGAGCGTGACAAGCGGCATGCCGTCTCTGTGGCCAATTCATTCATTTGCGGTGCCATGTTTTGTAATGGCATGCAAAAAGGATAAACGTCATCATCCTAATCTGACAACAACACATGGCATGTGTGCCAATTCCCCAACCCGTATTAGCCATGATTGATTTTTTTGGGAAACACACACACAAGGGTCATCAGCTAAGCCTCATCTGCCTACTTTAATTACCAATGCTTTTTTAACTCTCAGTCCAGCCCCCCCACCGCCGCATCCCCCTCCAGCCAATAGCTTCACTCTGGTGCAGAGATTTTTTATTTTTTTTACTGTGTCACAAACATCCTTTCAAATGTGCTAATTATCTCTTATCTACACACACACTCCTCCTAATATAAATTAATGCTAAATTTTATGTTTCAATCCCACTTCATTTCTCAAGCCTAGAACACTGCTCCCTTCAATATACCTGAAATTTATTCTTTTAATTATTAACATCTATGAAAACCGGCTGGGAGTTCAGCTTTCAGCTGTGTGTCTGCCCTTCAGTGGATAATTCCAGCCTCTTTAGCACATCTTTGATCTTATTTTTGTAGTGTTTGAAACAGGAATTATAATAACCTTGTGCTCACCAAAGTAAAGCCTGAGAGCTGGGAACACATCATTGGAACAGAGTGAAACCAGGACATTGATATTGATGGTAAACCCTCATCGTGGGCATTTAAATACATTCACTACAGTGGGTCAAATCCAGCGTAGTCTACACAACTATACAATACTTCTACTACTATACGGTCCTTCTTCAGCCTTTAGGTTTTGTTTACTGGCCACCATGTTTCTTGACTTCTTTTTGACCAAAACACAGCAAGTAACTTGAAGTGAGAGTGATGCTGAAGCCAACATGCTCACATTAATATATCTGAATGTTTACAAGGAGTATTGGTATCCATGTTAGTTTAAGGTCAAGGTTAAGGTTAGAGGTACTTTATTAATACCGTGGGTAGATTTGTTTTGCAGAAAAACAAATGATAAAAAAGAGAAGAGACAGAAAAGTGTTCAGTATTCTGTGATTCATCGATATAACAGCCGGGAAGTAAAAAGATAAGATTAAATAAATAAGATCACCATCAGTAAAAATGGAAAAATAAAACACAATAAAAACACAATTAGCATCTTTAGCCGGTTAGAACACAAATAAAAGTAGGACTTTTGGGATTAGAATTAGTTTTGCAGAAATAATCATGAATCAAAATAGTCGACAAATTAAAATCTGGACCTGATGAAGGCGCTACATGAAATATTAAAATTCAAACTGAGGGAGGTGTGAATGTCTGCACTAATGTCAAGGAGATCTAACTGAAGCTAATCTGTGACGGTGATGTTTCATACGTATTGGGGCTGCAACTAATAATTATTTTCACTACTGATTAATGTGCTGATTGTAGATTTTGACTTGAAAACATTTCATCATTATACAGTCTGTTTACTGGGTATATACTACACTACACTAAACTTTCTATTCATTAATGCATAGATTATAAATATGATGGATCTCATTTCAAGATCAGAAAAAGCTGTAATTTCCCATATTTGAGAACCTGGAGTCAATAACATTTAGAATTCTTGTTTTGTCGGGTAATAACAGATTATCAGAGCAGTTGCCAGTTAACTTTCTTTGATCATTTTATTGCATCAGCTAATTGCTGCAGCTCTTACATGAATGACTCAAATATGCATGAAGGAATCAGTAAGGGAGTCACTCCCTCTGGCAGGAGCTCTTTCTCTGCTGCCTCATGGCCTCACTCAGTGCTGTGGTGTGTCCCTGTCATGCCTGTCAGCTACTTTCACACAACTGTGGAGCTCACACAGAGTCAAAGACGACGACGGCGCTCCGACTCAATCTGATTTAGAGGCAGCAGGCAGCGGGTCCGTGCGGTTCTGTGGCCCACAGCCACCGACAATCAATTTGCTGGAGATGATGTCTTGCTTAAATCATCAACGGCAGCCAGACGAATGTTCACCTGCAGCATCACAAGCTGTGTTGCAGAGATTTCCTTTGAACACAAAGTAC